CACACAGGTTTTAATCTATTTTCTCATTGCTTCTGGTAACCATCCTATTGGTCATGGTTTTATTTTTCAGCATGATAATGATTTCACTGGTTCCAGTCCCGGCTGGGCCAGTTGGCATTTCTGTGTGAAGTTTGCGTGTTCACCCCGTGTTCACTTGTGTTTTGTCTGGGATCTCCAGTAGTGTATGACCATAGTGTATGAGTGAGTGTATGTATTTGAGAGTGTATCTGTGTTTCCCAGTACTGGGTTGTGGCTGGAAGGGCATCTGCTGCGTAAACATATGCTGGAATAGTTAGTGGGTTATTGCGCTGTAAATCAGGGACTAAGCTAAAGGAAAATTAATGAATGAATCATAATGATTTCAAACACACTGCAAATGCAGTGAAAGCATATTTGGAGAGAAAAATGGCTAATAAAACACAGACAGTCATGAAATGGCTTCCACAGAGCCCAGACCTGAATAATAAAGGGTCAATATGAGATTTACCTGGACAGAGAACAAAATATTTGACAGCCTGAATCTAAACAAGGTCTAGAAGTGCTGCATTGCAAAAAAAAAAAAAAAGGGCATTTTCTTGCTTACAGTTTTTGTTTTGTTTTTAGCCTTAAAAGTTAAATTTCTTAAATCAAGAAGAATTTTGTAAAAAAAAAAAAATAAATAAATAAATTAGTCTAAATGAAGTGAAATACTATTATTTTACTTTCCCTACTGTCAGGTAATTTAGCAAACAAGCTCAATTACCTGACAGTAGGGTAAGTAAAATAATCTTATTTCAAACGTAAAACAAGAATATTTCACTTAACTGCTGAAATGTCCACCTGGTTTCATCTTCATCATCCTGCTAATGTAGATGTTGGACTAAAGCAACGAATAATAATTTACAATGACAAAGGTCAGAGCGGGTTGCTGAATAACTACTGGGAGATATCAGCTGCTGTCTGGGCTTTCACTGCCTTTCTTCACCTCCCTTTCTTCATGTGTTAAATATTTTTTCCCTGCGTAATTTAATTTTATCACACATAACTTTGTAAACTAATTAGATTTTATTTATTTTTTTGCATATATGAATTTCTTTGGTTGCTATCAATATAAATTACAAGTCAACAGCAACTTTTGAAATTTGTTTTCTGAGAAAAATGGTGACATGTTCAATACTTATTTTCTTGTGTGTGTGTGTGTGTGTGTGTGTGTGTGTGTGTGTGTGTATATATATATATATATATATATATATCTCGGGGAGGCAGTGGCGCAGTAGGTAGTGCTGTCGACTCACAGCAAGAAAGTTGCTGGGTCGCTGGTTCGAACCTCGGCTCAGTTTGCGTTTCTGTGTGGAGTTTGCATGTTCTCCCTGCCTTCGCGTGGGTTTCCTCCGGGTGCTCTGGTTTCCCCCAAAGACATGCGGTACAGGTGAATTGGGTAGGCTTTTTGTCCGTAGTGTGTGAATGTGTGTGTGGATGATTCCCAGAGATGGGTTGCGGCTGGAAGGGCATCCGCTGCGTAAAAACTTGCTGGATAAGTTGGCGGTTTATTCCGCTGTGGCGACCCTGGATTAATAAAGGGACTAAGCCGACAAGAGAATGAATGAATGAATGAATATATATATATATATATCCTTTAAATAATTAAGTTTTTTTTTTATTATTAACAAGTTAATCTGCCAGCGGTGTACGTAAAATAATTTTGATTTCACTTTGAAATAAGATTATTTTACTTAACCCATTGACAGATTATTTAGCTTGTTTAAAGGAAAACTATAAGTTATTTATAACTTATTATTTCTGAAAACAGAAAATTTTATTCTTGGAAATGGAAATGCAACTTCATTTATGAGTTTTTAGGCACTTGGACAGGAAACAAAACAAAAACTCAAACTCATTCTTTGCTGTCCACACACTATTGCACAAATGACTTATGTAGGTTTTTAGACAGATCTTTAGCATGCAGAACTCATTTCGTTGAATCACACACTCCAATCAGTCAAATAAGATGAGAAGGTGTTAAAATAAAAGCCCTCAATCTTTCGGGGATACAAAAAGCCACTTGTAGGTTGTTTGATGATCAGATGGTCAAGGCAACAACTTCTGCATGTACCGCGGTCCATCCCTTTTGTAAAGAGCTAATCAAGAACCCTTGAAAGAGAGATTTTTATGACGTCCATGATGAATTGAATTGCAGGTTTGATCTTTGACCTTGAGCTTGATTGTCTTAGAGATGAGATGGAAACCTTGGGGACAAAAAAAAAGGATGCGTGCCATGGCCTCTCATCAAGGTCTCGTAAATGAGGGATTTGAAAGGGGCAAATATCCCAGGTCTCATAAAGAGCACAGCCTGCAGATTTTGTCTATTTGTGTGTGTGTGTGTGTGTGTGTCCTTTGTTGCTCAAGGTCATGTAGTGAGTCAGTATATTGGGTGGTCTGAAAGTTCATATTCGGAGATGGATGAAAATGAGGCACTTGCAATTTTACTAGCGAACAAATAAAACTTCATGAGGTCAAGCTATTTTCATATCAATCAGCGATATGTAGCGCGGACCACACACATTCGGTCACAATTTTGTAGTTTCATTCTTATTAATATGACTTTTGGGTTTGTCTTACGCTGTTGAAAATGTTATTTGTGTCACTTTGAAAGAAACATGTATTATTGCAAATGTTTCAAGTATGCGAGTGTGCACATTAAAGTTCATTTTGATTTTGTAAAGAGATAGTTCTTCCAAAAAAATTAATTTTAAAAATCCTTAAAAGGACAATTTACCCAAAGTTTTGTAAATATCCTATTATTTAGTGTTTAACAGAAGATAGAAACCTGTGAATGATTTAAAATATTGGGCTCTTATCATAAACCCGGCGAAATAAGCTGCAAGACATATGTAAGGTGGCAGTTGTTGCTATTTTCAGATCAGCGCAACCCTAATTTTCACTTTTTGCGCCACACTGTTTAAATATTATATATTTAAATAGCATTTGCGTCACTTTATGGAGGTGTGTTAAGGCACGTTGTTGGCACGTTGCTATTTTGAAGACCCCCCCCCACCCCCAAACACAGACACACACACACACTGATGATTTCTGGGTAGAGGTCTGCATTCCCGCGGCTGTCCCACGGGCGCCGCAGGACCCGACCAGATTTCTGCGGCGTGGGAATAAATTTCCGAATATATCGCGGGAGCGGTCGGTAACGGGTTTAATTTGGGACGGGAGTGGGCTGTCTAGCAATATCGCGGATATTGCTATGCGAATGAGAGAGAGAGAGAGCGAGCGAGCTTTGCCTGTGTGTGTGCTTGGTGCTTGTGTGTATGTTAGTGTGCGCGCGCGCGAATGAGAGAGAGAGAGAGAGAGAGAGAGAGCTTATTTCCAGATAGCAAAATACACTCGGGCCAGTTCCGGCTAGATTCTTGCCTGCCAGAGACTTACCACTCCGGATGCTTGTGGACTCACTGCCCGATTCCGGCCCGAATCAATCGGGCCAGATGCGGCTGCCGTAAGCGAGCCGACGCTGCCGCATCCGCGCCTGAATCGGTCCGAGAGTAATGTGCGCTGCGGCCCGGAGCTGGCGCGACTCAGTATTTATATACCTTTATATAAAACCTTTTGGTATTACATTGGTACTTGATACATGGTATTACAAGCCTTTGAGTTGATATAACAGCAAACGGCTTTGTGTCTGCTTGGTGCTTGTGTGTGTGTTAGTGCGCGCGTGCGCGCGTGCGTATGAGAGAGAGAGATTTGTCTGTGTGTTTGTGCTTGGTGCTGTGTGTGCGTGTGTTTATACAGACAGCTTGGCTGTCTGGACTGTATAGCTGGGGGATTTTCTGTTTTATTCTCCCCCGCTCTTTAGCGGGATCGGGCGCGGCGGGCAGAAAACTGGGCGGGTCTGGCAGCGGGACAATAAATTCTTAATATAAGCGGGAGGTCGGGTTCGGGCTAAAACCTGGCGGGTGCGGGCGGGAGCGGGATTCAAAATTTAGTCCCGCGCAGATCTCTACTTCCGGGCCCGTCAATAATTCATGAAGGGTGCAGGTCTAAAGTCCACCACAGAGCGCATTACGCTTAAACATTGCTTATTACACACAGGATGTTGAGCAATACGCAAATATCTTACATATGAAGAAAAAATTAAAGGATTACAATGTTTTACAAATTGTTATTTTCGACATAAATACAAAAACCATTGCCTTCAAACTTTCTTCATGTCAAAGACAATGACAGTTTGCATTTATATTATGTTATCATTATTAGCAGTAATATTTATTATATGTATATTTATATTCATTCATTAATTTAGTGTTTGGATGTAACTTTTTTGCTGAATTAAGAAATAGTTTTGAAACAAATCTTTGTGCTTAAACAAAATTAAATATGTAGGCTAACAGACGTCTTCAGTAAAGTGCGCACAACGTTGTTTCCTTATCCACGAAAGTAAAGGAGTAAAGAGTTAAAGAAAAGAGAAAGTAAAGGGAATGAATGGAGGAGGCTCATTCTTTATCCTCTTGCTGCAGATGGTCTGTTTAATTGTTTTCTCACTAGTGAAGCGGTCAGTTTTTCCACTTACAAAGTCTGCCATGTAAATAGTAAATGGGGGAGGGGGGGTGCTGAATCTCATTATGGGCCAGAGAGAGGAGGAGGGCAGCAGTTTGACACCTCTGTCTTGTAATGTTATAAAGGATCACTTTTTGGGTGGAATCCAGCAAACAGTTTTGTGTTTAATAGACATCAAACAGACATCTACACACAGACAGCTTGGCTAAAACAAGGCTAAAATTGGGCTTTCAGTGAAAATCTAATAGACAAATAAGAATATCCCAAAACTAGACTAGTCGTCAAATAGACAGCTAAGACAAATGCTTGCTCACTATTACGGACTATAAATAGTCAAGTTGTCGTTTCACTACTCTGTTTACATTGTAGATTCTTAACCAGCAGATCATATTATTCAGGTTACCTGTTTTCAGTGGAAGTGAATGAGTCTCACCTTGTTTTCTTGTGTCTCGCACACACAGGGCTCCTGAAAAACCCCTGCGCAGTAGCGCCGCCGTGTTTGCGGAGCCGGCCGGGCGACGCTGGCACTTCACCCAATGGCTGCTCCGGCTTCACGGATACATACCCGCCACAACATCGCAGGATATCCACAGGTATGAAACACATTCACATGCAACAACACTGCAGACAGAAGTGGTAGACTAGAGAAGACAAATAAAATTGTCAAGTACGAGTAAAACAATTATATAAATACTTAAATAATAGCAGGGCCGGAGCAAGCTGAACTGCCGCCCTAGGCAGAGGACCATCATGCTGCCCTCAACCCCAATGTGAAAACGAAAGTGACCGGTTATGATAATGAAGTGAGGTGTCGCAGACCATTTTTCCAGCGCACTGTGCGCGGATATAACTGAGGACGCGTGGGTGCTGAGGGAGGGAGGGAGGTGTCGCGGACACTGCACTTTCTATTCTGCCGCCCTATGCGCGGATATAACTGAGGATGCGCGGGTGTCGCGGACCTCAATTCTGCCGCCCTATGCGCGGATATAACTGAGGACGCGCGGGTGCTGATGGAGGTGTCGCTGACGCCGCCCTCTCTATTCTGTCGATCAATGCCCGAATATATCTGAGGACGCGGGTGGTAAGGGAGGTGTCGCGGATGCCGCCCTCTCTATACTGCCGTCCTAGGCGGCTGCCTAGGTCGCCTCTATGGACGCGCCGGCCCTGAGTAATAGTGAAGTTAATAATATACATTTTTACTTGAGAGCAATAAAGAATCCAATGTCCAGCTTTAAATAAAGTGGCTTTATATATTGACACAAAAGAAGCAGAGCTTTTATTATGCCACAGATTATTGATGGCCGCTGTTCTTCCTCTCATGATAACACAGAGAAGCAACAATGCTGCACCCTACTAGTACCAGGTAGGACCCTATTTTGCCTTCAGAACTACCTTAATCCTTTATGGCACAGATTCAACAAGGTACTGGAAATATTCCTCAGAGATTTTGGTCCATATTGACATGATAGCATGACGCAGTTGCTGCAGATTTGTCGGCTGCACATTCATGATGAGAATTTCCCATTCCACCACATCCCAAAGGTGCTCTTTTGGATTGACATCTGGTGACTGTGGAGGCAAAGTACAGTTAACTCATTGCCATGTTCAAGAAACCAGTCTGAGATGATTCACACTTTATGACATGGTGCGTTATCCTGCTGGAAGTAGCCATCAGAAGATGGGTACACTGTGGTGATAAAGAGATGGACATGGTCAGCAACAATACTCAGGTAGGCTGTGGTGTTGACACGATGCTCAATTGGTACTAATAGGGCAAAAATCTCTCCCACAGAATTACACCAGCACCCCCAGCCTAAACTGTTGATACAAAGCAGGATGGATTCATGCTTTCATGTTGTTCACACCAAATTCTGACCCCACCATACAAATGTTGCAGCAGAGTTCGAGACTCATCAGACCAGGCAATGTTTTTCCAATCTTGTATTGTCCAATTTGGGTTTCTCCCATCAACAAGACATTTGTGCCCACAGAACTGCTGCTCACAGGATATTTTCTCTTTTTCAGACCATTCTATGTAAACCATAGAGATGGTTGTGCGTGAAAATCCCAGTAGATCAGCAGTTTCTGAAATACTCAGACTAGCCTGCTTGGCACCAACAAACATGCCATGTTCAAAGTCACTTAAATCCCCTTTCTTCCCCGTTCTGATGCTCGGTTTGAACGGCAGCAGATCGTCTTGACCTTTTCTACATGCCTAAATGCATTGAGTTGCTGCCATGTGATTGGCTGATTAGAAATTTGCGTTAACGAGCAGTTAACCTAATAAAGTGGCAGGTGAGTGTATATACATTGTTTTATGCAGTCTAATAAACATAATAAAGCATCTTTGGGGTTTGTTCCCTGAAACCGACTAGTTAAAATAGCTTATTTCGCTGGACATTTTTTAAAACATTTAAAATAATGTAAGTACATAAGTCAACCAATGTTTTTTTTTTAATAAAAAATGTAAATATTGTGCATATAATTAAAAATGTAAAGAAGTTTGTAATGCTTTACTACTCGCCTCTGATAGCAAAGCACTTGCGCCTGCCACAAAGACACTCATCAGATCAGTATGTAAATTCAGCTGTAAGCCATCTGGTTAGTGTTAGCTCCATTGCGTTGAACTGATTTTGCCCCACAGCACTGGATCATCCATGCGTAACGTCAACGCTGTGGGGCAAAATCAGTCTTCATTCCATGTGTAGGATGTCTTGTCCTGTCATTCCCCAGCAGAACGCAAGATACAGTTTCACTCATGAGAAATAGTTTCTGCTTCAAACATGTTGCGACAAAGCCCATATACAGAGTGTCTCCCCTCAGCCCTGCTTTAATGGGCACATTTCACCGCTCTTATTCCTGCATGTGATGTTTCAACATGATGAATTCACATGCTGGAGGTCTCTTTGTTTTCGGTTGCTTTTCAGCCGGTGTGCTGAAAGTTGGTTTTTCCCCAGGCTTGTTGCTTTTTCAAAGCCGGCTGTCACTTTTCGAGATAATATATGAAGATAATTGCTAACACTTTACAGTAAGATCCCATTAGTTAGCATTAGGTCATGCATTATACCTTCGAGTGAGCTTTACATTTGTTGTGGTATGGGTTATATTTGCTGACGAGTTATTTCCCAACAGTATGAAGATTATGTGATCATTTATTTACCCCTATGATGTTCATCTTGCAACACAAAAAGCTATCTTTACAATCAAAACGTTCATAAAGATGTCAAAAAGTAGATTCATGAATGGAGCAAATCTCTTGAAGAGACATGATTGCTTTATATGATGAAGAGATGTAATTTAGGTGTTCATTTAAAGTACATATAAAGTTTGATTAGTGAACAATATTTACAGCATTGGGTCAGGTTTGGTCACAGATGCAGAATTTTGTTTGCTTGATGCACAAGAACTAATGAGGTTCATTCTTGACAGTTACATGGCATGTTTGAGCTTCCAAAAGAACCAACGAGTTTCATTCTTGAGTATCAGGTGGCATTTATTAATTTCCAAAAGAACCAATAGGGTTTGTTGTTTTGGCGTAGCTCAATTGTATAATGTTTGCTGAGCAATGTTAATGTCAACCCAGGCTCATTGCAGATACGAACACAGGTCTACATTTCTGGAGACAGTGGAATATGTACCTCAGGTACGTCTGCTTGCAGTTTTAGTTTTTTTTTGTGTGTGTTTGCAAATTCACCAGAGGTCGCTGTTTAAGCTTTTTGATGATCACAAATCGTAATGTAATGTACGTAATGTACACTTTGGCCAACCAGGACAGCTTGCTTTCAACTCGACTGACCAACCAACCCCCTACCTAAATCCAACCAATAGTGTTTTCAAAAGCAATCTAGAAAAAGAAAAGCTGCGAGGCTGTGTGATTTCGCCACATTTTCAGTGAGTTGTTTTTATAAATGTTTTGCTTTTGTTGTACCTGGTTTCTGGAGCCGTTTTTCACAGGACTCAAACCCCATCGTTGCAGTCAACTCAGCTTCATATCCCAAGTCCATTGGCATATCCAATGAGCTACTGGGCAAACTAGTAACATCGGAAATGCTGTCCATACGGATGTAATCGGTCAGCTGGTTGCATGAAAATAAACAGAAGCCTGACCAACCCACCCCTTCCCTGAATCCAACCAATAGTGTTTTCAAAAGCAATCTAGAAAAAGAAAAGCTGCGTGGCTGTGTGATTTCGCCACATTTTCAGCGAGTTGTTTTATTAATTTTTTGCTTTTGTTTTACCTGGTTTCTGTAGCCGTTCTTCACAGGACTCACAGAACCCCATCGTTGCAGTCAACTCAGCTTCATGTCCCAAGTCCATCAGCATATGCAATGAGCTACTGGGCAAACTAGTAATATCAGAAATGCTGTCCATTCGGAGGTAATCTGTAAGCTAGTAACACGAAAATAAACAGAAGCCTTCAACAATGTCATACCGTTGCTTTCGTTTTAAAGGCGAAATGCTGCCAGACATACCTCTGGTATGTATAAAAGTTTTGGATGCTCTTTATTTTGAAGTAAGGGCACCTATATTTTTCTGAATTAAGAACGTAATCTTTATTGTATCACAAATGTCATAGAAACAACCCCTATTTACCTGGATCCACAAAAACACTAAAATGCTGTCACGCTAGAGTTTCTGTAACCGCAGGGGATGACACATACAACTGAAGGTAGGATCCAAAAAGGCAGGTTTAATCGTGGTCAGGCAAGCAAAGGTCAACAGGTACAAACAGATATGTGTAGGCTGTCCAGAATCGTAATCGTTAACAAGCGAGAGGTCAAAAAGGCAGGCGGCAGGCAGGGAGAACAAGAATTCAAGGCTAGGTTGAAACACAGGAAAACTAGACAGGAGTACCGCGTTGTAATGTCATCTAAAGATAAACAAGACTCAGCATACGGTATGAGTGAGTGTGTGGCTTAAATAGTGTGTGCAATCAGTCTCTGACAATCCTCAGGTGGTGCGAGTAATCAGTCTAGATGAGGAAGCATGTGTGAGTGTGACCGGAGTGCATGAGTCCATGAGTTATTATTAGTGAAATCCAGCGATCTTGCTTACACATACACATGTAAAATTCTGTCAATTCAGCGCTGCAAAAAGGGGCAGGATTAAATTAGATGATTTGAAATTTTAAAAAGTGAGCGATTGGTCCATATTTGAAACTTCTGTACACTGAGGTCTTGTTTTGATGTCCGATTGGTCTCACGTGATGCGATTTTGCAGGGCGGAGTTCACCAAGCTTGAACTTTGCAATGCAGCGAACTCTGAAACTTGTCGCATAAGCTTGCATTTCTGATCTGTCGCATTCGCTTGCTTACTGTATGAGAGGAAGTCTATAGGGCCACGGCTTTATGTATGCAAAGCCAGTATGTGGCGATATCACTTTGTAAAAAAACACTCATGTTTTAATACCATAGTTGTTTAGGATGTCAGGTATTCACCCTTGTCTGTAGAATGAACTCGTAATACACACAAGCATGGCGTCACTGTTTTAACCCTCTCAAGGCAGACGTTGCTGATTTGCAACAGTTAAAAGCATAGATTTTACCTGTTTCTAAAATTTAATTTGAGCCTGAAAGGGTTAATAGTTTTGATA